GATTTCTTTTTTTTTTTCTGAGGCCCAACAACATATCTTTTTTTCACTCATGGGCTTGGACTATCGAAGATTTGGGCCGCGACTCTAACAGCTACCCGACCCAGCCCACTTAACCCATCCCGAATTTGCTTCCCCTCCTTTCCTCCCAACCCTCTGGTATCTCGAAAACCCTAGACTAACACCATACCGCGGTCATTCATACTCTTAATCATCATATCATTGCACACCCAACAAACTTCAGATTTTCATGCATTTACCCTCACAATATAACAAATAATTATCTCATTCCACTACATACACAGTTGTGAAGTCGAATAGCGCTATATTATTTCATATATGAAGATATTAGAGTGTAAACTACTTTTACCCTCGATGATGTGATTCACAGCGATTTCGGTGACTTTTCTTTGCCTAACCTGTAAAACCGATTCATCTACATTTACAAAAACGATGTCGAATAAAAAGAAAGGGGTGCAATTACGACTTACCACATACCAGCCTTATTGCGGCCTACCTTGGTCGTTCGACGGTGCTAGAATGTCTCCTCTCTTCCTCTTCGACTACGCACACCTCCCCTCTTCTCCTCCCTTTCGCTGTCAACCTCTCTCTCTCTCTCTCTCTTAGGATTTCTTGTCCTCTCTTTTTTGTAAAAGCATAATTTTTTATATATAAGTGAAATTAAATCGTGGTCGTCCATTGTGAGAAGGGATCCAGACCATTCAAAGATGTCCTCTCAATCCCGATCATGCGATCTGCCACGCGGTTCACACGTGGCGTGAGTAGATGCGTCCAACGCCTTTTGGGTGTGGACTGCCCGTGTCCCCCGTTTATTGGTTTTCTAGACACTCAGTTACTTAGGTGTCACATTTTTATAAAAAATTTCAATTTCATCCCAACTCCATCAAGACCTTTTCATTTTTAACCTCTTTTATAATTCTAGATTACGCTTCATTAACCAATAAATTTTCAATTAACTCCCATTGCAAAATTCTCATCATTACATTAAGTGTTAGTTTTCAAAACTTAGATAATTTAGATTTAGAAAAATAATTTGTTGTCAATTTTATTTTCTTAATATTCTACTTTAACTGGAAAAAAAACTATTATATTTAGATTTTTCCTATTATTCATAAATTTTAAATATTCTTAATGCGAGCAAATGAGGACAACTCACACTAATATCCCATGACCAAGATGATTACAAGTAAATAGCCAAAAGAGTCCTCCAAATTATGGACTCTTCTATATTTCGCATGAGGAAGCTATATTGTAAAATTTTGAATTTAGGACATACATCTTTAAAAATATTTTCAAAAAAAAATTAGTAAAAGAAAGGACTTTCAAAAGAAATAAAAGTTTTTGAGAAACTTAAAGTAATAATTTTATAAAATTATAGGTGAAAAAGAAAAAAAATAACTAGAAATACATTTTTTAAATTAAATATATCAATTAGAGGTGTTTTAGAATTTAAAGAAAGCAAATAAGATTTTAAAAATGAATTTAAACCCAAGAATTATTAAATTAAAGGTTTAGGGACCCAAATGGAAGTAATTGAGACATTTGAGGACCTTTCATAAATTTAAGTTGTACTTAAGGATCTAGATGAAAGGAAAATACAATTTTTTGAGGCATTCTGTAATTTCTAGGAATAAGAACACATTAGGTCCATCTATCTAGGAAAGCCAATTCGTGATTGCCTCGTGGATGACACGCATACATGCATCAATGAGATAGACTGCACGAAGGTCCATGATGGAATCACATCCTACTAAAGATGCCATTTAAATAGCCAAGATTTTCCCACCAAAAACTGAGATGCGCACCATGAACCGTCATGATCGCCTATGACAGAGATCAGACTATCCGTGTTCATGCACGAAAAAAATAGAGAGGCAAGGTAATCAATATCCAAATAGTATTTGAGGGTGATCCTATGGATAAAAACCATCACGGGGGTGAAATGACGATCTTGCCCCTCAAATTAAAAAAGATCTAACGACCAGAACATGTTGCTTGAAAATGGACAGTCGAGATCTTCTGTGACATCCCAAATACTAATTAAAGTATAAGGGTGCCAGATACATAAATATATATGAGTGCATTTAAAATAATTACAGAGCGGAATAAAATATATTACAAATCCCTTACAAAATAAGTTTGAGTTCTAAATCTTACAATACTAAGATGAAATAAAATAAATACAATCATCTTCAAAAATTGAACTCATCAGAGTGCGAGACAAAATATACACTCGTAAAAATTCATGATCCACGGGATCCTCAAAGACTTCGATGGATAGGTCAACTAGTGATTCTTCAATATCGTCCTCATCTGAAGGAGGGGACATGGAAAATGATGAATTTCATATACTTAGTAAAGAAAATAGTATTTAAATGACATTGCTAACATTTTAAAAATAATTAACTTAGAATAATACCTTATATGCTTACCATCAAGAATAGTGCATGTGCAGCCATTTTAATAAAGAAAATATTTTATTTTATTTAGAAAAATATCAACATCAAATCAATCATATCAAACATATAATCTCGTTATGTAAATAGAGAAAATCAAACAAATCATGTCACATCATGCTTTCTTTTCATCTTTTACTTATTCTTCGAGTGAAGCCATTCTAACTTCCATCTATTCAGGGCAATACAAATTCCCAACGACCACTGTGGAATGACAAATTCATTTTATATCATTTTTAGCATAATTATAGCTTGCTAAACCACAACACATTTACGGCGTGTCAAACCATAACACGTTTTATAACCATGACCGTGCCAACCACAATGGTCCTACATGTAAACTATAGTCACAGTCATACATCGCAAAAGTGACCTCTAAAATTATATCGCCTCACCACTCTCGTCAGAGAGTACACTATCATTCACATGGAGCGGTCTTCTCACTTTTTTTTAGACTAGATGAGAGGAGAAACAGAAACTCCTCAAAGATAAAAGCCTAGTAGATCACGTTAATTTAAATACCATACATGCAAATGTCAATATTCATTTCATATGTTCGCTAAATATCAACATACTTTTCATGTTATCTCTTATCATGACATCATGTTCATTATGTTTACTTATTTATTTACTAAAATGATACAAATCATGCAATACCATGGAATAATTACGTAAATATATTTAAACATATCAATAATTAAACATGTAACAAGCCATCTCATATTCATGCAATAATTTTTTATTAATCTAGAAATTGTCCTTAAAACATGCAAAATAAATGCTAAATTTCTTTACCGAAAGCTTGAAGTTTTCCTACACTCTTCTTCCTTGTATTTTTTTTCTTTCTCTCTCTATAGCTCTTTTTCTCTCTTTAAAATTTGTTTTAGTGAATGGAAGAATGAAAATGAAGTGATGAAGAAGTAGTGGAGAAGGTCTCTATTTATAGAAATAGATTACCATTGGATTTCTACCAAGTGGCGTAAATCCATAAGGAGAGAGGGAGGGGAAAAAGTGACTAACATGACATGACGACTGATGGATGACTAACAAGACAACGGTGACGTGACGACAACACAAAAACTAAAGAAACACTGCCTAAACGGTGATGGCATGCCAGTCAAATGGCAGCGCATGCCCCTGAAGGGGTAGCGTACACCATCCAAGCCTACCGTGCGTGCTGGTTGAAGGGGTCCGTACAAGCAGGCATGTGCACATGCACGTGGAGTCATGCACCATTTGCGTACAATGTAATGGGCACAGACGGCGCACCTTGCGCTCCGCGTGGATGGGACGTGCACGTAGGCGCACATCCAGTGTTGGTCTCGCAGCCGGGGAAAAATTTCCCGCAGCCCTTTCTCTGTCATTTTTCCTTTTTTGTTTCTCTCAAAATTTTTAAAATTAATGAAAATAAATAAAATAAAAATAAATAACAACTACATAAAATAATAATAACAAATAATTTAATAAGTTCGCAAAATATAAAATTTAAAATTTCAAAATTAGTTTCATTCGAAAAGTAAAAAACGTAAATTTAAAGAGTTAATGGTGTTAAAGCCCAAATTAATAGAGGTTTTACACAACAATTAAGCGCAAAGGTACCGGGTTTTACATTCTTCCCACAATTAAAAAATTTGGTCCGCCAAATTTATTAAAAATAGATGAGGAAATTTTTTTCGCATTTCTTCCTCCAATTCCCACGTCGCCTCTTTTGGAGTGTGATGTTGCCACTACACCTTCAACATCGAGATCCTTTTATTGCATAAAAATTTATCAGTCCAATCAAGGATTTCAGTGAAAAACTTCTTGTAACTCATGTCCGCTTAGACCTACATTTCTTGGTGAGGAATAATGTGATAAGGGTTAGGGTGGTACCTTTTAAGCATGCACATGGAAAATATCATGCAAGCCCGTAAACTCTGGAGGTAGAGCAAGGTAATATACGACGGGTTCAATGCGTTCCATAATCATAAAATATCCCATATATCGAGGGCTTAGCTTTTTCTTCTTACCAAATTGCATTTTACCTTTGTAAGAGAAGATCTTTACGAAGATATGGTCAACAACAATGAATTTCAATGGTCTCTTATGGTTATCAGCGTAACTCTTCTAACGACTCTGAACTATGGCGAGGTTCTTGCGAATAATGGTGACTTTCTCAATGTTTTCCTTAATGTAGTCCGGTCCCAAATGACACTGGTTTCTAACTTCATTCTAATAGGTTGGGGAACGACAGGGTCTACTATATAGGGCTTCATATGGAACCGTGCCAAAATTGGAATGATAACTGTTGTTATAAGTAAATTCACATAAAGGAATGTACTCATACAAATTATCACCAAAGTCGAGAACATAAGTGCATAAGATATCCTCGAGCATTTGGATGGTACATTCAGACTAACCATCGGTTTGAAGGTGATAGACAGTACTGAAGTACAATCCCAAACTAAGGGTTTCTTGAAAATTGTCCCATAAATGAAAGGTAAATCGAGAGTCTCTATCTGAAATAATAAAAGAGGGAACACTGTGGTGTTGGACAATCTTCTCGACATAGAGACAGGTTAACTTACTGGTGGATTTTGTTGTTCTGATAGGTAAAAAATTGGTGGTCTTGGTCAACTTGTCTATAATGACCCATATTGCATTGCGACCATAACAGGTTTTGGGCAAACTAGTGACAAAGTCCACTGTTACATGCTCCTATTTCCATTCTAAGGGAGACCTTGTAATAAACCGCCAGGTATTTGATGCTTAGACTTAATTTGTTGACAAGTAAGGCACCGAGAAACATAGTCAACATATCTTTCTTCATTTCAGGCCACCAGTATTAGTGTCTCAAGTCTCAGTACATCTTGGTACTTTCGAAGTGAATTGATAACATAGAGGCATGAACAGCCTTAAGAACATGTGTCCTAACTGCAGCAAAAACCAAATACGATCCTGGAATAGACACAAACCATCGTCTATGAGCTTGAAATCAAGAAACTCGTTAGACGTAAACTTACTTAGGTTTTGAGTTATCTCTGGATCGATGGACTGAGCTTCCCAAATCTTCATGAAAAGATCAAGTAAGGCTCGAATTTGGGCAAAGTATGCATCATTGCCATAATGATTAAGGTGGAGTGTTTGTATTGTATCAACTAGTTTTAAACTGGAGGCAATCATCATTGCCAATACAGCAGACTCCTTCTGACTCAAGGTGTCAGCAACCACATTACATTTATCGGGGTGGTAGAGGATCTTGCAATCAAAGTCTTTCAGGAGGTCTATCCAATCCCTTTGCCTCATGTTCAATTCTCTATGAGAAAATAATTATTTTAAACTTTATGATCAATATAAATTTCAAATGTCTGGCCGTACAAATAGTAATGCAATATCTTTAAAGTAATTACGCTCATGGAGCTTCAGCTATTTGGATCCATAATGACTACCCGATCATGTTGCATCAAGACACATACCAAACCTACGTGAGATATATCACAAAAAACTTGAAGTCGCCAGTATTATCAGGAAGGATCAACACTGGGGTAGAAGTGAGGTGATACTTTAACTTAAAAAAACTGTCTTCACATTCTTCATCCCAAACAAACACTACATCCTTCCTGGTAAGACAGGTCAAAGGAGTTGCAATCTTAGAGAACCCTTCAATGAATCACCAATAATAGCCAATCAAATTCAAGAAATTGCATACCTCAATGACATTTGTCGATCGGCTCCAATTAATTACAACTTCAACCTTGAAAGGATCAACAGAGACTCATTCACTCGAAATCACATGACCAAGGAAAGAGACTCTGTCCAACCAAAATAAACAATTACTAAATTTTGCATACAAGTGATTCCAACAGAAAGCCTGCAACACTCGTGACAAATGGTCTGCATGTTCTTCACGATTCTTCAAGTATACTAGGATGTCATTAATGAAAATAATGATGTATTGATCCAGTGCATGCCGAAAAACTTTATTCATAAGATCCATAAAAGTAGCAGAGGCATTAGTTAATTCAAATGGCATAACCTTGAACTCATACTAACTATACTGACATCAAAAGACTGTTTTAGAAATATCTTTTTCCCTCACTCCCAATTGATAGTACCCCGATCTAATGTCAATCTTTGAAAAAATTGTAACACCTTACAACTGATTAAAAGAGGTCGTCAATATGGGACAAAAGGTACTTACTTTTTATTATCACACGGTTGAGCTCTCTGTAGCCAATACATAGTCAAATAGAAACCATCTTTCTTATTTACAAACAGCATCGGGGCACCTTAAGGAGAATGGTTAGGGCGAATGAACTTTTGCTCAAGAAACTCAGTGAGCTGGTGCCCAACTTTAGCAAGTTCCGTGCAACTAATGCGATAAGCAGGCTTTAGGATTGGTTGAGTTCCTGAAAGTAAATCGATGGAAAATTATATCTCTCATTGGGGAGGTAGAGCAGCCAACTCCATTAAAAAGACATCAAGAAAGTTACAAACCATAGGGATTATAAAATACTACAGGATCGGTATCCATGTTCTTATTCATTTAAAGGTTAGAAAATATGATAATTCATGCATATAAGTTTTTTCCTAGGTTAACAAATAAATTTTTATTTCATTTTCGGTGAATGAAGGGTTACAATTTTGTTTTCACAGTTGATAATTGCCTTATTCTTCTCTAACTAATCCATACCTAAAATGATATCAAACCCTAAGAAATAAAAAAGTATGAGATCTACTAGTAGTTCAACTCCTGAGACTTTATTTTACAGTTTTTATACACATAGTGAGCTTTTAAAAGTCCTCTAGAGCGAGTTTTTATTGCTAATATTTCATTCAAAGGTTCAGATTTAATATATAACTTACAAGTAAAAAAACAAGAAATAAAAGAGTAGGTAACACCTATATCAATCAAAGCTCAAACAGTGGTATCGTAGACAGAAAACATACCCTGGATGACAGCAGGAGTAGTAAGGGCACTGAGCTCATCGAGATGATAAATACGTCCCTTGAAAATAGGTCTGACCACATTTGTACTGAGTGCTCCCACATTTGTAGCAGGAGTTGCTCAAATGCCGATAGGTTTGATCATCATAGAAACAGCCATAGTGTTGGCAGGGTTAGGCAAGTCGGGCAGTATTTCCAATTGATAGGGGTAGGGCAGGAGGAGGGGCAACTCGGGATCTCTTATTAGGGTGGCTGTTGACAGGGTCTGATAACCTTATTCTTTGTGGTTGGGGTTGGTGTTGCTGTTGTTGACTGCAGACTCGAGTAATGTGTTGGTGCCAAGCCAAAATAAGGTTTTTCGCTAACTATTCATGTTCAACACCTTGACATAGGATATGGGTCTCAAGATCACTCTCTGGGATGACCGTCAAAGGCGCAAACTTAAAAACTTAGATAAATTAGGCTGCATACTTGACAACTGTCATATTCCCTTGGCGGAGGTCCTAAAATTCCTCTCTTTCTTTTCTCGAATGTATATAGGAAAAAAGTTCCCAAAGAAAGCATGCATGAAAACTTCTCAGGTTGTAGGGAAAGGTAGGACATCTTTCTTAAGTTATCACTAATACTCGGCTTCTCCAGTCAACATAAAGGCTAGTAAGGAGACTTTTTTATTCTTTGATTAGATTTAAGACAAAGAAAGGTTTTTCTATCTGTAGGATCCAGCCTTCTACAGCTAAGGGGTCAGGCCCTCCTTCGAAGTGGGGTAGATTGAGTCTTCTGAACTCAGAAATATTATGGGAAATGGATCTTTGAGCTTGGCAATAGTCGAGGGCAAGAGAATGTTGATAATGATTGGCTTTGTTTTAACATATTGCTACGGTCAGACCCTGAATGGCTCGGAAGAGCTCAGTAAACTTGGCCCTGGTCAGTGGATCCTAGTCTCGGGTCGCTCGGTTCTTTCTACAAAAGTCTCCCTCGAGTCATTTTGGTCTTACAAA